AATTAGTGCAACAATTTATCTTGCGGCCTGAAGTATTTTAGGTCACTACGCATGTGATGGGTTGACCCTGGCTGTACATATTTTCTCCTGTTTTCAGAAACGGTCACTTCTCTAACCTAGCCAAATAAACGCAGACATGAAGTATTCAATCAGTTTTTGATGGTAGTAACTATTTCTGCAAAAGCACAGACTACTTCACTGAAAAGCAAGAAGCAGGAGAAGAAAAAAAGTCCAAAGAAGAAAATCTGGTTTTTGGTTTTTTTTTTTCAGGCTGTGCTTGGTTTAAATGAGACAGGAAAACCTTAACTAGCTTTAAGGTCTTGATGAACATGCAGGTTCAACACAGCCAACTAGCAGATTTAGTGAACAAACACATGCCCAGAAAAGCTTATCCCATCCCTCATAGCCATACATTTATAGATGAATATGGTTAAAATAGAAATCTTTCAAAACTCTGTTTCATTACATTCTAACAGAATTCCAATTTATAGCCAAGAACAACTTAATAGCTTAAAAGAAAAACAAGTCACAGCATTCACCACTTTTAACACAACAAAGATAAAAACATTAAGCTTTTACTCTAGGCCAAATAGGACTAAAAGGCCCAGATTCAATCTGACTAGTTTCAGTATTTACCTATGGCTTAGTCCTACCAATCCTGCATATGCTAATATTATCACCAAAAAGGGAGAAATCCAGTCTGCCTGCCTCCATTGTCCTTCCTATTATCTTGCTCCTACTGCCATTAGCAGTTACCATTATAAGGAAAGCAGAACTGAAAAAGATATCTAGGTTAAAGCAACCAGTGTTTACCACATCTGACTGAAAGTGAATTGGTTTCCTGTCACAGCTGACGAAGCTGCTAGTGCAAGAATGACAATGGGAACACAGCCAGGAGAAAGGGGTGGGCAATGAAGGCAGCAGGTGGGCACAGGCTTACGGAGAATTAAAAGCATCTGTGGCTCTAACTTAAGGCCTTATTTCCTTATGGCCTTTCCAAAGTCAATGGGAAATAAACACTGCCAGAGGATGATTCTCCATACCCTACTAATCAACTTATGCTGAGAGAAAAGAGCAAGGCAAAATCATCTACAAATTCAAACCAAAAAAAGAGTTGATTACATGAAGGTTTCCCAACTAAGACTTTTGTCATTTGGATTTAAAGTGGTGTAGCCTAACAGCAGGGAAACAAATGTGGCACTGTGATGTGTGTTTTATGCTTTCTCCATCTACCTGCCTGCTGCCAAATATTAGAAAAGTAACATCTTTGTGTCTTTTTCCTTCTGAGCATCTTTTCGTGCGTGCTGTAGAAACTGCATGTTCTTAAGCTACCCAGAGAAGAGGCACCGCCTGTTTGCACAGTGCTTGGCAAAACAGATCTTCCCTTACTGCTACTGTACTGCTACTAGACGCAGGTTCCATACTCATGAGGGGACAGACGCTGCACAGTGGTGTAATCCTTCCCTCGTCACCGCATCAGGCATCACTAAGGGTGCAGCTTCCTTAGAGTTCCCTTCTTCTTCCTAGTAAATCTTTTCCCAGGGGTTAAAAGTACTATGGTTATCACCACAAAGGGTAGCAAAAGCAGCCAAGTATGAAAATACCATGAAGGAAAAAAAACAAACCAAAGCAACAACAACTAAAATCAACAGAAATATAATGGCAAGTTTTAAAGGAAACAACCTCTCAGCAAAGTATCTTTCAGGCAACGCAGCCTGGGTTCTGAAATCACAGAATCAGGGTAAAGTCAACATCGAGGGTACAGAAAGGTGGTTTTGAGATGCTCAACCTGAAATGTGCTACAGAAAAAACAAAACAGAGGAATAAACAAGCAGGCATGTGGGGCTGATGGGAAGGTCAGGGTCTGAAGGTTTACTACCACAGTACTGGTTATAACAACAGCTGAGGCTTCGCTCATACAGAGGTCTATAAAAACAATTTCATCTTCTTCTTGTGTGAGGCTGAAAACACAGCCAAGCATCAACAAAAGTGACTGACTAGCTACAAAACCAGTCCCAAGCCCAAAGCAGGTTAGAAGGAAAAATACTTCTAATCTCCCTATAGGTTACACACGCAAATAGTAAACTTTGCATGTGGCTATGTCATTTTCAAATCAATTATATAAACTTAAAATGCTCAGAAAGCTACAAAATGCTTTTCTGCTCTGCAAAATAGCAAAGATTTTCTTTATCTGTTCTGAGAACCAGATCAATTTATTACTTATGAGAAAGGTTCTGCCACGTGAGCAGGTTTAAATAAGACGTAATTTTTCAATGAAAAACAAGCAAAGTCTTACATACCAATTGTGATGTCAATGCTGGAATCTCTAGTGAGATATTCAAGTACAGGGCCAGAAACATAGCCAGATCCGAGCAACAAAACCCTCTTCTTATTACCCATCTTCAGTGACTGAGCGTATTCCCTAGGAGGTGTTACAGGCAAAATTAAAAACCACACAGAAGAAGGAAACTGTAAGCTGCTAAAGCTAACAGAATAAGTATGTTTTAGTAAGTCTACAAGCCAAGAGCTCTATTCAGACCCAGAGTCAAGTTACTGGCTAACTAACCCAAGACTGGGCAATCACTGTCTAGCAGTGCTTCCATTCTTCTGCTGCATAACTTCTATTTTCTTTCCTCTATTATAAGCATGATCAAATCCATCGACATCTCCACTGCTTCCCCAACTGCTACGGGCTGTTCAAGAAATTTCTCCTCAGTTGTCATTATATTTTTCCCAATGGCCAAGTAACTGTAACCTGATCATTTGAGGACTGCCAAGCTGTCTATGTCATCTTTGGCTGTCAGAAAGAGATTCCAGGCTCTGCCTTGCTCCCTTTACATCACAGCTAACTGTTAAAGTGCACAAAACCATGCTGGTGAGAGTGTATTTTTGTTAAGTTATACTAGGTTCATATTAGCCCATCATAGGAACATAATAGTCAATAAAAGTCAAATAAAAGTTAATGCCCAGTTAAGAAATCCTGTTTGCAGACAAGAACTCTACTCTAAAAACTATCACAGAGTGTTTCAACCAAGCTTCTACTACTGTCCAAAATAAATTTAAGTAGCTCTCCTGTTGACTTCCAATATAAAATGTATTCACATCAGATTTTGCATTTCTTTTTTCCAGCCAGAATAACATAGTTCGACAGTTGTTTAAATATGCTTTCATAAATGTGCACATTGTAATAGGAAAACACATTTTGGTTGTTTATAATTATTTTTCCTTTTTAGCTTAAATTTGCATTAAGTTGTAAAATTAGGATTGTAAAATCATTTGTCTAAAGTATCAACACTATGCAGATAAAAACTGTTTAGCAAATAAAAAAAATTCCTTAAAGCATTTTTTATTGTTGAAGAAAAGGAAGCTGTTCATTGCCATATTGTTTAACCTCATTAATGGAGACTGAGGTTTTGCTTTTCTTATCGCATATCCTGAAAACAAATTTCAATAAATAGGTAGGACCTTCGAAGATACAGACTTAGGGGAAACTTTGTAAGTGTATAAGCAAGTTCCTCAATTTCCCTTTTATCTACTAAGAGTTTACACAGGCATATACTGCATTGTGGATTACGCCACAGAAAGAATCCTGACTTCTAGCTGACAAGCTCATGTCCACTTTGCTTAAAGCTATTGTCCTTAGAAGAGGACTAACTATATGTCTACTAAATCATGTTGGTTCAGACCTTTTTGGGGCATCAAATTATATCCATAAGTCAATTTTCAGTTGTGGTTTTTCAGTTCAAAAATGGCCATAGTAATGAAGGATGGTGTCGCAGCCTGCCAGAGCAATACCTAATAGCATGACAACAAGAGCAGTCTTGCATGACTTAAAGCATGGCATAAAGTATCCGAGTACATTTGGGGGAACAAGGCCTCAAACAATAGCATTGAAAGACTACCTTGAGTGAAGAGAGTTAAATCAGTACCAAACACATCTATATCATCTGTCTGAAGCACATTCCAGCCTAGTAATTGTGTCTAAGTATTTATAGTTTGAGATGTTCCATCCTCCCTTTCTCTGCTTTCAGGCTTAATTCAATTTTTTTAAAAGTCATTCTTTTCAATTCATTAAATCTGACTGAGATGTACCAATGCCTCACCTCTCTAATCTATCTAAATTATTACTATAGATTACTGTATATTTTGACCTTCATACAAATTTTACAGATTTGATTTTTTTGAAAAGTTAAATTGTGATTTAATCCATTCACAGAAAGTCTCCTACGCCCATCATATCCTTTCATATGACAAATCCAAGGACCTTCCTCCTACTACTATCAATTCTAATAGAACATCTTCTTCCACAGCTACACCCTCATGGCAAAGGGAAGAGAAAGAATTCCTCTCCACCCTTTACTTATAGGGAGCAACACTGGTATGCAGGAGCTTGGAGCGACAGTGTTGACAAAGGGGAAACTTCCTATATGAAAAAAAAGCTGGATTTTGCAATCAAACTTCTTATCATATTTATTAAAACCTTTTCCAGTGTCTAGAATGAGGTCACACTTGGAACAAACACAGCATGTCTTGTTCTAGGACAGGAACAAACATGAGCTGCCAAATGACCTACCAAGAGCAGGGACAGGATCTACACAGTCCCAGAAAAGAACATGTCAGATAATGCCTACCTCTACATACAAGTTTAAATAATTTGGTTATGTTAATCTATGAACAAATGACAGTAATACTTAGAGGTCTACATTAGCAATGGGATGTGCCCTTGCAGCTCTGGATGAGGTAGCAAGGCATGAGGTAGCTGTGGATGAGGTATGAAGCAAGTAAAGGTGAAAAGATAGAGATAAATTCAGTAAATCAAACTGCTCACGCATTCTGATGGTACCCAAGACAGTTCAGTTCATATAGTCTGGCTATCCTATAGTCTGAAATGTCCATGTACACCCAAAGGGTATAAGCAATTAGTCTAAATAGAGCCCTCAGAGACTAAACTAGACACAGCATAATACTTTGTTAGAGTAATAACATAAGCCACATCATTCCTACAGGCTCTAAACGAGAGCCTATCTCTAGCTAAACAATCACACTTTAAGCAGTAAAATCTCTGCTTTCATTTGCAATATCCCCAAAGTTTGCAAAGTAAAGGAGGGTATTGTTAGGTCTTGCTTTTCTGAAAGTTGAGCAACACCAATGAACAACTGAACATCACATGCAACACACAGGTCTGCAGAAATATCAAAAGTCTACCCACAAAAATCCCCTTGCAAATGAAGTCTCCAGATTCTCAGGGTGCTTCACACAAGACCACGCACACGATTATGGAGACAGCAAAAAAAACCCCAGAGCATCGTGCTGGGTGAGGAATAAGAAAACCTGTTACTGAGACAGCCTCTTCAGGTGGTCTACCAAACAGCACACAACAAAAATCACTGTGAGTTGAAGTCTTTGAGAGGCAAACAGCATGTTACTTTGGGTGTGAAGCACTCCTACAGTTCATCATGAACAAGTTCATAGCCAGAACTCGCAAAGTTCTCAAAGGAAACTGGAGAAGTTTGGCATGCAAAAGCCAACACACTATGATTTTAGTGCTTAGCACATGCAGTGCTTGTGGTCAGACCAATTTCAACTTTTCTGTGATGTATAGTGCAGCTAGCACCGACCGTGAACATAAAGCCAGAGGTACCCACTTAATGGCAAATTAATATTTTTCATAGAAGTTTGTTAGTAATAGGGAGCAAGGGGAAGGGAAGGGATACCCAGGTTATTTATACTTTTGTTGGCTTAATACACTCAATGTTACTTCTTTCATGTTACCACTGACTGGTAACTACTGAGACAGGGTACACATGAAGTGGTAGCTAAAGCTGTAGCTACAGTAGTGTAATGAAATGCCTGAGAGTCTCACAGAGGCTCCTGAATACGTCCAGTCACAGAACAAGCACTTATACAGCACAGCACTTGAGCCATACTAGAGGAAACTACATTTGCGGTATACTACAGAGCCTTTTCTTTTCAGCCACTCCTTTCAAAGGACTGCATGTTATATCCATTTTGAAAGGACAAGGAGTAACAGAATTATATTGGCATGTGGCTGTATTCTGCCTCTGGTAAAACAATTTTCATAACATCAGAAGAAGAAAAATGACCACTTTCTCAACTTCAATATAAGTTACTAACAACAAATGTTAATGATTTAGGCAATGTGCGTAAAGAAAGAAGGAAATCATCAAGCCTAGGAGACATTTAGACACAGTGCAACATAGCAGTATTCCACCAAAACACAAGAGTAAATAAATGCGAAAGGGGAGACAGAATGCAGGCAAGGTTTGTTTTTTTTAATCCTGAACTAAACAAACTTTAAGAACCTATACATTACCTGTTCTCCCTCAATTTCTGGATATATTCATACTTAGCTGTCAGTGAGCCATTGGATGCAATCACTGCCTAAAAATACATGAAACAAATTTTGAGGATCTTTTGTACCTGTACATCTTAAAACAGAGGAAGACAAGCAGAGTGCCAATTTGCAAAACTTACATCTCGAACAACAGATGAGTAATTCTGGCCTTCAAGAGGTTCTGAGCCTTCTGATAACAGCTATGGAGATAAATTATTTGAAATGAGGTCATGTTATTTCCCACAATTTTTTTCAGAGTAAATCAAGATTTTAAGCAACATTAAATGGATGCAACAACATCAATATCAATATCAATTCTCCTGGCCCTGATCAGTGTCATTTGAATTTTATGAAAATACAGGAGTTCAAACAGCAGTCTGATTGGGAGTGACTGTTGAGTGCCCCAAGAAAATCAGATTTAGACATCTACTGCAGGGTCCAGGAGCAGTGAACTACCTGCCAGAGCCTGTTTCCTGCCTACAGAAGGTGTTCTTGATAAATCCCTAAGACATCCAGGTCACTAATGTCTCATTCATGTGTTGCTTTTTGAAAGTACTGCCTCAAGACTTAGAAAGCGGGTTTTTTGGGTTTGGTTTTCTTTGTGTTTTTTTTTTTAAGTACAAAGTCAGTTATGTTCTACAGCAGATTCCTTTTGAATATACACAGGAGACCAGAAAAGCAACAAACGAGCAGACCAAAATCCAAGTCATTTACCTTCTTGTTTGACACATAAAACCTTACCATCTCTTCAATATACGGGAAAAGCATATCGCCAAAGTACTCTGTTGCTTCTATAGGAAGCTGTGCTGGCAGATTGTCAATGGAACACATCAGAATCCCAGAGCCTTCAACACTGTAAGAGAGACCATAGCTCTTCTAAACTACTTCTCCTTGGTACCCTCTTTCAGAAGTGTTTTAAATGCATGATTTTTCAATATAATGTTTCACTGTACAAATTACAGAGGAAAGCAATAAAAATTAAAGGCTCTCCCACCTGTCATGAATAATATGCTGGTCAGCATCATACATACAAAATGGACTGTCAATTGTTGTACACTCCGTCATAAATTCTATAGATCCTCCAGTGTCTGCTGAAATGTCACATATTGCCAGAAGTCTGAAGAGATTAAATAAAAAAGAAAAAGGAATAGAGCATTACCCAAATTACTAAGGAACACAGGTATAAGAGATCACGAGTGAACAGGAAATAAAAGAAATGTGAGAAGATCTATCAGACTTGTAGTTTCGTTCATTTTAACCAATGTAGAAGTCAACACAATGACCTCCAGAAACATAATGGAAATCTGGCCCTACAGTAGTCATAGGATTTCCACTCATGTCAACAAGATCCATATTTCATGCAAAACTTCTCAAAGACCAAGAGAATCACAAAATCATAGAATCATTGAATCGTTTAGGTTGGAATAGACCTTTAAGATCATCAGGTCCAACCATTAACCTAGCACTGCCAAGTCCACCTCTAAACTATGTCCCTAAGCACTACATCTACATGTCTTCTGAGTATCTCCAAGGATGGTGACTCCACTACTTCCCAGGGCAGCCTGTTCCAATGCTTCACAACCCTTTTGGTGAAGAAATTTTTCCTAATATCCAATCTAAAGCTCCCCTGGCGCAACTTGAGACCATTTCCTCTTGTCCTATCACTTGTTACTTGGAAGAAGAGATCAACAGCCACCTGGCTACAACCTCCTTTCAGGCAGTTGTAGAGAGCGATAACATCTCCCCTCAGCCTCCTTTTCTCCAGACTAAACAACCCCAGTTCCCTCAGCTGCTCCTCATAAGACTTGTGCTCTAGACCCTTCACCAGCTTCGTTGCCCTTCTTTGGACATGCTCCAGCACCTCAATGTCTTTCTTGTAGTGAGGGGCCCAAAACTGAACACAGTACTCGAGGTGCAGCCTCACCAGTGCCGAGTACAGGGGGATGATCACTTCCCTAGTCCTGCTGACCACACTAGTTCTGATACAAGCCAGGATGCTGTTGGCCGCCTTGGCCACCTGGGCACACTGCTGGCTCATATTCAGTTGGCTGTCGACCCCCAGGTCCTTTTCCGCCAGGCAGCTTTCCAGCCACTCTTCCACAAGAGTTGCGTGGGGTTGTTGTGACCCAAGTGCAGGATCCGACACTTAAATTCTTTATTTGTCAAGTGAGACAAAGAAAGAAAGGTGTCAAGAGTGGACAGAGAAGAGACACAGACCTCCATCCTCACCAGGATACACTGCCATCTCCCCCTGCAAATCCATCCCCAGGCCAGTCTCCCAGAGAACTATTACACAGGGCTATTAGCAGAAGGGTGGCTCCTACCCTCACTGAAAGAAGACTAACCCTGGATTTGCACCCCACATTCCATCCTTGAAGCTATTCAGAGTTGTGAAGCATTCCCACTACCTGCTGCAGAAATCAGAGGTGTTAACGAACAGTTACTGAACCTGCACAAGCCAAATGAATGGGTAAGAAGAACTTAACCAACACATTCTGCTCAGGCACAGAAACTTCTAGCAATAATGGTACAGTAGGTACATTTCCCAGATGTCACACTGTTTGTATTGGATTCTGCACAAGGATCAATGACCGAATTACCTTTGCAGAAAGACAGCCAATACCTGTCAGTCATTTGTACTGTGATGTTTTCAAAAACTCCAAACTGTGAAAACAAGACTGCAAAGCACAGAAGAACAAAAGCAGAATCAATGGGGCATTTTGCAACATGCAAGAGGAACAATGTAAGAAACAGAATCATTCAGTAGATACTGTAGTGAAACTGCCTAACATTATGACTTAATCATGGTGCTGCAGAATTGTTACGAGTGAACTGCGGTGTCTTACTTGTGTGGTAACTCAGGACAGCCCTCCGTTGCACCAGCAGCAGATCGAATTGGCACTAGCAGCTTCTGAGCATCCTGTCGACTTAACAAGCGAGGAGTATGTTGTTCCCAGTATATGCCATTAATTAAACAAGTTGTGTAGGGTGCAATCTGCAAAGAAAGTTACAGATGCCTAATGTTCTCACCTAGTACTTTAGTAAGTTGAAAGGACCTGGTCTAGTGTTTTAAATGAATGCTTTCTCAATCGATGGATATGCAAAGGTGTAGTAACTACCAACACTCTGTGGAAAACCTTTCATAAAAGAACAGAAGAGATGCTCACATCAGTGTTAAAGCGAGAAGTGTAAAGTTCTGGATGTTTATCGTAGTCTACTGGATCATATACTCCATCATGTTTCCTTACAAGATGATGGTGACGACTTAACACTGTCCCATAGACTTTTCTGAGGTCTGAGAAAAAAAAAAGAAAAGAAAAAGAAATAGCTGTTATACTTGGACAAAAAGTGTCCTAGTGTTTTCAATCACTTTATTGTCACAGCATACCTCCAGATCTGGAAACTTCCTTTAACTCATGTGGTTCCACAAACTCACATGGGAGGGCATTGAACATTTCTTGGGCACCCTGTAAACCATGAAGTAGGATCAGAAAGAGCAGAGAATATAGAAATAGCGTAACACTGCTCATTTGGAGTGTGAAAACAAATACAAAAAATACCACACACAACTTGACAGTCCTGCTAAAGAATATATTCAGAGATGTACAAACTGTTTCACACATATCCCCGCTTATCCAGAACAAAGCTCATCTCTAAGTACAAGGAATTTACATCCTTCCCCATTAATGCAGTATGCCTGACCCATAATCCAATGTCTGGTTCATATTTCTAAAGGCAGAGCTGGGAGGCCTCAACTCGGCCACAATCGATAGTTTTGCTGCCATTCTCAGGAGCAGTTTCTCTTTATGGAAGACACCTGAAGCCACTCCCTCACCAACCAGGCTGTTCTAAAGGCAAAGAACTTCAAGATGACTTTCCCAATGAGCTGTGATCACAGAGCAAAGGCCTTTCAGACACGCCATCCTTTTGACCAGAAAATACACATTTACATAGGCAGTGATTTCACTTTATAGCTGGAGCCTAGTTAACTGATCTTTGTTGCCAAAACCAGGGCTTTTCCCTGTTGTAGAAAATAGCTCTAAAGTCCAGCACTTGTAAGCCAAGTCAATGCTATAAAAACAGATATAAAAACTCAGCAAGTATTAGAGAAATAATTATTTTCATCATACTTTAATGGTGTGACTCAACATACCTTGTGAGCTCAGAGTCAACAGAAGGGAAAAGGGAGACAAAAATCATGTAGGTGGGAAAGGAGAGAGGAGCAGTAAGACTTAACCCATTTTTCTTGGTAAGCAGTTAGCATGGTCAGCCTTGTCAGGCATGATCTCATCTTAAAGGCATTAGTTTATAAAATCACAGAATCATAGAATGGTTTGGGTTGGAAAGGACCTTAAAGATCATCTAGTTCCAACCCCCCTGCCATGGGCAGGGACACCCTCCACTAGACCACATTGCCCAAAGCAAATGTACTTAAAATTCTTACCAGCAAAGGAAAACCTGAAGTCCAAGCAAACAAAATAAATCCATCTTAACCCATTTAACCTGACATGTATCAAATACCGAGAAGTTCTATTAAAAATAATACAGCATTTCATCTTGAAGACAGAACTCTTACCTTAGAAACATTACCAGTGCCTGTAAACACAAATGTTAAAGGCCCAACTGACTTTGGCATCAATCCCAGTGAAATTTCATACCCAGCATCCCGTACTGCCTGCACAGCCTGACTGCTATTCCTGTAATTATGCGCCATTCCAATGTGCTGAAATCAAAGGCACAGAACCATCAGGATATTTTCCATATTCAAAAACAGATAATTAGCAGATGCCCAAATGTCATTTTGCTAAAGAAAAATACATACACGTATACTCTTACCATGAAGGGAGTGTGATGTCCCAGGGCTAAAAATCGTAATCCCAATCCATGTAGAATGTTGATCATTCCTATTGTTAAAAAAAAATAAAATCAGACCATCAGTGTTAATTATGAATATGCACAGTCAGAAACTGCAGAGACTGACAGAAGTCTAAAATCACCCTGAATATTTTTGCCTGTGTTTTAATATTAATATTTTACTTCTACAGAAAGCCTACATAAAACCTGGGAAGGAGAAATTCAATAGCAAGCCATGCCATTAGACCTGCTCTTGGCCTACATTATGCATTTCAGCACTATTTAATACTTGGATATCCTTTTGTGAGATGCAGCCACATCACCAGATTCCAAAGAAGTAGATAATAAAGAGAGCCTCTGAAGAAAGAGTTGGAAGTTCAGTAAAAAGGAATGAGAACCATGCCTCACAAAAATCAGTGTAAATGGAGTGACAAACAGATGTTGTTCAAACTTGCAGGACTGACAGCAGCCATTTCTTTCAAAAGTCTTTTCAGTTGACCTCTTGATATTTAGTCTGCCTCAGATTAGTTGAATAGACAAACAGGATTTCAAGACAACATAAAATAATAGATTTGCCAGGACAATTTGACATGTAATCTCATCAAAAGTATGGAGCACAAAACAGAGTGGAAAAAAAGCTCTTAAAAGCAAGAGTTAAAAATGCAGTTAAAAATGTATTGCAAGCCTCAGCTTTCAGGAAACGTAAACAACCGGAAGTATTACAAGAAGTTACTTGTTGCAAGCCTGCCTTTACTTCACGCACTATACCTGCTACACCAGCCCACTTTCCAAAGGCCACAACTCGCATTCCTTTATGATCAACCATTTTTTCATAGTCAAACAGTCGAATTTCCTGAAAATACATAGCAAATTGAGTATTAAAATTTCCAGTGAATGCAGCCAGTGGCACATTGCTGTCCTAGGAACTACTTTTTCATATGCCTTGGTCATCCTTTATGTCAGAGGCTGATGGGCACATATATGAGAAAGGCAAAAAATTCATAACAAGATTTAAGTATAAAAATATAAACTTAAAGGTTGCACTGAATTCCTGTTTAAAGAGTCTCTGCACTGCCCGTGCACTCTTGGCACAGAGCTCCCCAACAGCCCACTCCAGCTGCTGCAGACCCATTCACATCCTCTGCCAAGAGGCTGCTCATTTCTGAGTGAACCGCTTGCCTCCCTCTAAAACAACCAATACGTGCTCTGCCTTAACAACTTTCCAACAAGACTTCGTGCTCACACAGCGTGAACTTCTCTTGAGTATATCATGCTCACAACTCATCTGCATTACGCACATAAACACAGTAGCACTGCAAGCATGAGATCCTCCAAGTAAGAAACACTCAGTTCCAGGAAAGGATACTGAAAACAGCCCTCGTTAACTATCTACAAATAGGCGTGCTGAAAAGTAACCACAGTAGGCAGCAAGCTTTCTATCACGCTTCAGCATTAAATTCAGTTTCAACCTGATGCTAACAGCAAATTGTCTTTGCTATGACACAATTTACCTGTCTTAGAATCTCATCCAAAAGGGCCATGTTTGCCTCTTGGGCTTTAATAGTGTGAGAGAAGAAGGCATAGTTTTTTTTCGGTATTAATTTGTCCTCTGGAGGTCTCTTCACACCTACTATCAGAGAAGCCTCAGAAATATCTTCTTGAATAATGCCACCTGCTTTGATGTAATCCTATGAAGGAGAAAAATCAAAGTAAATTTTTCTGTTTATTTTCATATTCAGATCTCAGCACATAAGCAGCTAGGAAGGACAAATAGACAATTCTATTATGCATGTATCACAAGTTACTGCATGTGATACATTCATAAACCTCTTTATCAAAAGGGGCATCAAATATCAAACTGAATTTCCATGCTAATATAATATCTTATTATAAAAGACCAAAACATAATTATGTGTTAGTAAAATTCTTCATCTTAAATTCACAGAAAGAGAAGATTTAATTACATTTTTTTAACTACATTTAAAGTATCTTATCATATTGCAGTAATGACCAGTCCTTTGTAATGTGTTGAAATACTTGGAAATAAGTTTAGAGAAATCTGACAAATTAATCTAAAGACTGATGATATCTGATTTTATAAAATTATATAAGACTAAATCCAAGCTGAAGAGCAACTTATAAAACAACATTTTTCCATATAAAGATTTATTTTTTTCTCTCTTATCTCAAAAATACATTAAAATTCCAGCTTTCAGTATTGTAGTTGTGTACCTAAAGTGATCTGTGCTTTGGTGAAAAGCAGCACTGTGCCTTAATTAAAAGGTGATATGTGCAAGCAATCACCAATTCTCTACATATGATTCAATTTTCATTTGTTGACTCATACACCTTACAGCAGAGTATTACTGCTGCTACAGGAATTGTAAAAGCCCTCAGTCCTGAGGCTATCAGCATTACCGAGAAAAAACATCTCTCCTCATTTCACATGATTGAAGCAAAAAAAAGATTCACCAGATTTCATCCTTCCTCTTTTTTTTCTTTAAATATGCTTATTTTTTAGAGTGTTGCCTCCATGCAAACAGCAGACCAGAATTCCAATGTTAAAGGAATTCCCAAGTCTCTACTCCAAGAGCACCTAGAACGTCTTCAGAGACAGATGAAAGGGCAAGAAATCAGTAAAAACCCACCAGTGTGCCAACATTACACTAAAAGGTTGAACAAACTAATCCTTTTTCTCTCCACTAGGACACAATAAGTCCTTATTTAACAACCAAATGAATAATACATTTTCTCAAATATACCCTTTGAATATTCTTTTTCCTGTACTATCGTTAATTAATGGCTTTGCTTATTATTTTTCCTGTACTATCGTTAATTAATGGCTTTGCTTATCTAACTCAAAACGGGACCCTACCTTTTCATGGATGGCTCTCCGGTTTGATGGCTGCACCAAGACCTTGTATCCCATCTGTGTCAATTCTTTAACATGCTTTGGTGCTAGAGGTGCTCTTCTTTCCCATGCATTGACATCTTCTCTCCTGATTGCCAGCACAGGCTTACGACGATGCCAACACTTAGCGTGATGGAACGCACACCTATCATTTGTGTGACTAAGGGCTCGCAGCATGGTAAAGCCTGATGGCAGCAAAGACAAAGTAGTAAAATAATACATGTACATGTATGCTTCAAACACTGTTTGAAGCAAAAGTTCTGGTCTCCTCTAACATCTGCTGTAAAACACAAACCAGTCACTTTATACTCTAGTTGCACTCTTTTGTGAGACATGAATTTAGTTTCAGCATGTTTTGTTGCATCTCAGTTTGATGGGGTGTCATGACGGAAACAAATTCTTTGTACTACTGTAAAGGAAGCCTTCTAATGTGTTCAATGTACCAAGTTTTTAATTACATGGCTTAAAAAGAATGCTGGAAACTTAAAGATACCAATTAAATTAATTTGCCAGCATAAACATGCAAAGAGCAAGCACTTATTAAAGCTAGCATCAACAAAAGTACGAAGTAACAAACACAGAAAGCAAGTAGAACACAAGCTATAATGCAAGCAGTTGATTAAAAGAGAAAACCCAATATGTAAGACCAATGTTAAATATTTTTACATAACTAATCTTTACACAAGCTGAAAACAGAAGGTAAGTACAAGACCTTAACTACTGCTCAGCAGTCAGCATATGTTTGGCCAGGAGCAACAGGTTTTCTTCCTAATCAAAATTTTACGCACAGTGGAAAAGCTTCATTATGACAGATTCCCACTACAGATGATTATCCCTTTATTTTCTCTCTCCTCCTCTTCACACCCAGTGAAGCATATATGCCACTGCTCAGCTCTGCTGAGAATGGCAAGGGTTCTGCACAGGTCCAGCACCCAATGCCTAGGAGTCTAAGGACTTCAGATATTTATGCGATTAAAAGATACAGATCTCAGAGATGGAGGCTTCAAAGATGTGAACTTTGTTTCCAAAGCAATTTTAACTGATAATTACATGAATCTCTGTATCCAAATCACTCAGAAAATCCTGCTTGTCCTCATGCCTCAATTTTGTAACATCTCTATACACCTAAAACCTTGAGAGAGCCTGTTTAACTCCAGGCTTGCTTAAACAGAAAAACTAGCAGACTAAGGAAGAAGCACATGATCCTCTAAGTTAGCTCCAAGTGTGGTTTTCCTACCATCGCTAAATCTGTCCACCAGCAGAATTGACTGTACAGAAGTTGGAGTTATTTTATGACACTGCTCTTCAGCATGCTAAGAGGGTACTCAGAGAGCATGTCAGTACCTCTCAAAAGCAGAGAAGTCTTGTCACACAACGTCACTGTTACTGCATGCTAAAATATAATGATGAGAGCAGCTCCTATGGAGAAATCAGTGCACTATACACCTCATATCCAAGCCTGCAGTGAAGCAAATTTCCCTCACACAGAGGACTCCCACAAGAAGAAAAATTATGCTTTCAAGGAGGAGTGAGCTGCCCTGCACTTAGAGCATGTGGGTGAGGGGGAATCAGGGCAGTAAGCAAACACTCCCTGTGAGCTCTGGCAGGCCAAAAGTTCACATGCCTGTGTATGCTCAGGCTTAGCCAGAGATACTGATATCCCATTGTAAAAGTGAAAGTAACTTCAGAATTCAAAGCCTGCAGAGCTGTGGAACCCTCCCTGGCCTCCTCAGCACGCCAGCTGAGCGAGGGAGCCGAACGGCACCAGTTGGTTCTTCATCACCCATGTTGCGGGGGCTGTTCCACACAACTGAGACTAAAATAACGCTGAGGAATATAGCAAAGGCAAAAAGCCTAACAGCAATGCATCTGATTACAGCACACAATTTTAATATGATCCTATTTCTAGAGTGAGTTGAATACGCTTATACGGGCGACTTGTGCCCCCACTTCCCACTTGAGACCCAGCTAAACCAAAGCGCCCGGCGCTGCCAGCAGGTTTCACCCCCTGAACCTGCGGCCGTGGGTCTCACA